CCTAGCCTGTTTACCGCAATTGCAGACGGACGGGCATGGGTGATGGCAATACACACATTTTAAGCAGGCATATAAAAAGGGGAATAATTCTTACCTTCCACTGTTAACATAATGTGACAGGAAGTAGAACCTTCACTGTTGGTAGCCTCACATTCATATTCACCAGCATCAAGCAGAGAGGATTGTGGGATCTCTAAGAAGTGCTGTCTATCTGATTCGTAAATCCTCATACGTTGGTCGGATTTTAGTTTTTGACCTTCTTTTCTCCATATGACTTTTGGCTCAGGATTACCTGGGAAAAGTAAATAAACATAAATATTCCTGCTTCCAAATCAATTTAATCAAAATAAGATTACAATTTCACCTTTTTTTTGTTTACAGGTTATTTTCTACTCCATTATGATCTAACAAGTTTTCTACTTCAGTCCCATTCTATGATGTTATTCATGTAACAATTTCAATTTAGGGTTTGTGACATACCTGAGACTTGACAGACAAAAGAAACAGGATCAAATTCAGAAACAGTTGTATCGTCTGGTGATTTTGTAAACTCTGGTAAAGATAGGCTGGCTGTTACACTAAAATTAACACAGAAAATATATTTCCAATCATCAATGAAAAATCCTCTACCTTTACTCCTAAAAGGCCCTAGTTCACTATTTACAGGGGTTGATTTGGGTTTGAATATATGCAAATAGCCTAGAGAAGGAACTGTACAGAAATCGCATATAAATACTTCAAAAATACCTCAAACTAGCAATTTCACTCTTTTTCCTTTCACTTGTATCCTCTACTATAAAATATATGTACCCGGAACTTGTTCGTATTGTTGATAAGGTCTATTATAGAAAATATGTTTATGGAAGATTTTTGATTATCCAGTCCTTAACCGTTCAAAATAATGGCAGAATTTCGAAGGCAGGTGTTATGTCAATGTAATTTTCAAACACGGATGATTATGGATACACATGGGTAACAAGGCTAAAATATTACTGAAGATAAGCTGAAGATTTCTGAGACCAAGGTATTATTGACCTAAAAAAATAGCCAAAAAGCTTTCCAAAACCTTAAAATGTGCCCACCTGATGTTCTGTCCCTCCATAATGATCTTATCTTCCTGGCCTGGTGGAATCGTCACATTGACTTGAACATCACTGAAAATGGTTCCCTCTGAATTGTGGGCTGTCAAAGTGTACTTCCCTCCATCACTGCCCGCAGCTTCCCGAATCTCTAAAGAATATACATTGTCCTCCGTCACCAAGGTGATTCTTTGGTTTTCGGTTATTTTTTCACCTTCTTTGAACCATTTTACTTCTGGTTGAGGATTTCCTGATAAATAAATACAGAAGAGTTAGTTATGGAGAGATAATTGTAAAGAGGTTTTCTAAATGTGTATCGGGGACACTGATAGTATCAGTAGGCACCATTCCAATCACCAAAAGGTCTTAGGTGATACAAGTACAAAATTTCGTGATATTTAGTGATGTCATAAACATTTAGTTTTTATGGAATTGCAGGAACCACAGATGTCTGATTTGAATGATGTAAATTGATACTATCAGTGTCTCAGATACACAAATATTTTTAGAAATACCTCTTTATAACCTCTTAAGAAGCTACTGCAGACAGACACATTCAAAAATACAACAGCAAGAAGGGAAGAAATAGAAAAAAAACTATTAAAAGTGAAAATGGTTAGCATACTAACCTAGGGGACAAAGTTTACATACAATTCTTACCTTTTACTTCAGAAGCTAGATTAATGGTTTCCCCAGCTTGAATATTGACATCTTCACTGACTCTTACAACTTCTGGTGGATAGCGAGTCTCCTCCACTTCCACTGAAGCTGAGATGGTCAGCCCACCATCATCATAGCTGACTCCTGATACATCCACATCGGCTTGGATTGATGCAGTGGATTCTTGAGTCTTGGTGGAAGTTTCTGAGGTCTCAACTGAAGCAGTCATGGTAAGTTCCTCTTCTTCTGAAGATCGTTTGGATTTTTTTGATTTTGTTTTCTTTTCTGGTATCTCATCTGGAATGAAAGTCAGATCCTGCTCTTCTGGTTTGTACATCTGACGAGTTTTCTCTTGTGGAGCTTCTAGAATCTCTTCTGCCACTCTCACAGCTGCTTGATCAGGGCTAGGTTCTTTCGTGATTTTGGTTTCTTGTGTATTAGAGTCCATTTCCAGATCCTTCAAAGCATCATCAATAATGTCATCAATATCTTCAGAGATTTGCGCACTAACTCTAGACTGTTTCTGGGAATCTCTAACCAATGATGTCAGATCACTTGGACTAGTGACAAACTGTCCTCCATCCGGTAACGTCTCATCCAGAGCAAAGTCTGCTTCTCGGATCGATCCTTCACTTATTTCTGATACAGTTTCTTCATTGATTGGGGATTGAATCCTGAAGTTATCTTCAGCACCGAAAGACTCAGGAGTTGGGGTCACATCCCTAGAATCTGATGGTCCATCCAATGAATCTACAGAGTCTACTTTCACGTTTTGTCCAAGTTGTTCTTCAGTAATGTCGGCTTCCACAGCAGGAATGTCTTCAGCTTTGAAATCAGAAGTTTCGTCTCTCATGGACTCTGTATCACTTAGCTGATCGGCATGCCAGGTCTCCTCATCCTTAATGGAGGCTTCTCCTAGCTCGCTCCTACCATCCAGTGAGAGTTCGTCAGCCTTGACAGAATCTACATCAGTCAACTCAGATGCCACAGATGCATCCTCTCTGCCTAAATTCATTTCATCTGCCTTTGCCAATTCTTGCTTTGACTTTGCTTTCTGTTCAGCTTTTCCTGTTTTCTCAGTAATTTTTTCATCTGCTTTCAAAGACTCTAAATCAGTCAAGTCAGAAACAATTGATGTGTCATCTTTGTCTAACATCTGTTGTTCCTCTGCTAAGGCAAGATCTCTTTGAGCTTTGGTCTTTTCAAGATTATTCTGAGATGAATTTTCTTTCAGTTCACCTGCAGCAGGACTAGATAGATCTTCAGTTGTGTCATCAGTAACCGCTTGTTCATCAGTGAGAGAAGAAACTGCTTCAGATGTTGCTTTTGCTTTACTGTCATCCTCTACTGATTTTATTTTGGCTTCATCAGTCCTTGAAGCCCCTAAAGTTGCAGTTGACTCTGTAGTTGTTTTAGTGGACGATTCTTCCACCCTGAATGACGAGTTCTCAGCTGTGGACATATCAAATACACCACTATCTTGACCAAGGCTTGTTGAGAGTTGTTCCTTTTCACCCATTGGAAGGTCCATGACCCTGTCACTTTGAAGGTTTGATTCTTGTGCCAGTGTTTCATGTTCTGCTCGTACAGCTGCTCGAATTTGATCGTCAATCATCTTCTCATCTGCAGCACCTTCGGAAAGATCCATATCTCTTACTGATTCAGCATCAGCATTGCTTTCCGTCTCCAAAACTCTTGCTTGCATTTTGCTTCGAATCTTTGCTTCCAGCATCTCGGAGGGATTCGTGCTTGTGGATGATTCCTCAATGCTCCCTTCTTCAGAAAAGAGGCTGTTGATAGAACTAACACTTCCCATGTCAGTTGGAATACTGTCTTTGGACATGGTCTGCATTTCTGCTGTCATTGTCTTGATCTCTTCCAACATCTTGGATTTCAGAATTTTGGATTCCAAATCAATTTCCACTGTCGAACGTTCCTCAACTTCCATTTCAACGCTCATTCTTTTCTTTCTTTTAACTTTACTGTATTCAATCTCCACGCTCGAATCAACCAAAATCGCACCACCACCTTCTGTAGCAAAGACCTCACTTGAGTCATCAATTTCCAAAGTGGATTCCCTGGACCTTGAAGAATCAATCTCTGCATCAGATGTTGTTAATTTCACTTCCCTTTCTTCTATTGTTGTTCTAGAAGATGTTGAATTATCTATGGACACATCAGACTCAACGATCAGTTGTTCCTCAGATGTGGCTTTAGAAGTTGACACTGAAGTCTGCTCAATTTCAACAGAGGCTGAAATTTTGAGTTCTTGTTCCTGTTGAGATTTGGAAGATGATGTTGAAGATTCAACTTCTAAGGACATTCCGGATTTTGACATGCCCCCTTCTTCAAAATTAGTAGTTTCAAGTTCTGCTTTTGATTTGGATCCTTTCTTAGTTGAAGTTTCAAGCTGCAGTTTTGATGTTTCTTCAGCCAAATACTCTGTGGAAGAAATTTCAGACTCAAATGAGATCTTGGAGGAATCCTTTTGGGAAACAGATGCTTCAGAAATAGAGGTCTCCACTGACATTTTGGTTTCATGGGATTCAGAATAACCTGTGAATGCTTTTGAACTTGATTTAGATTCTTCAATTTTCATTGACTGGGATGATTTCTCATAACTTTCTTCATAATATGACTCATGCTTTGAAGAGTAGGATTCCTCTAAGTTACCATTAACAACAGACTTTTCAGACTTTTCACTCATTCCCTTCTCAATTTCTTCTTCTTCCAACTTTTTGATGGATCTCTTTTCTTCAGCTAATATATCTTCAAACTTCTGTTTACGACCAAATTCGTCCATAAACTCTTCACCATTGAAGTCTATTTGAATCCTCTTGGCGTAACTTTCGAATTCCAGTTGTCGTTCCTGGAATTCTGAGTCAACTTCGCTCATTGTCATGGAATGAATGGACAAGGTGTCTTCATCTGGGTGGCCACGTCTTTCTGGAAATGGAGAGAGTTTTACATTTCATTCAAGTCAAAAAAAATGACATTGGATGTGACTGGAAAATGAAATGGAGTAGATTATAGGTCAAAGCAATAATATAATTCCATGACACAAAATTAACCCAAAGAATTAAAAATTTTGACATTTATTTTAGTATTTAGAAGATTTCTCAGTTACAATATTCTGATTATTAATCGATTATTGATCGGTAACATGCGGTGGATAATCGATCTCAATTTGGTAATGGATACCCAGCCCTAACTGTGTCAGCTATAACATGCAATGTGCAATGAAATTATGAGCAACTGAAATGCAAAATGAATAACTTACGTCTGACAAAAAGATAAGCAGAAGTGGAAGCTGTTCCTTCAGAGTTATCTGCCCTGCATCGATACATCCCTTGATCTTTATGGGAAATATCTTCCATCACCATGGAGATGACACCATCTTTAGTAAAGCTAAAATTGTATCGTTTGACGTGAGTGATCTCGATTCCATCTTTATACCATCTTATTTCTGGACGAGGATATCCAAGAACTCTACATTCAAATTTCTTGGAGCCACCCAACACCACATCCGTGAGTTCAGCCATCTTGACTGCTCACTGCCTGGAAAAACAAAATGAAACAAAATGGAATTTCATCTCTTCTGCTAGTTATTTAATATGGTCTAATGAGGGTAGCCAATCCCTTGCAGTGTGCAATGAGCTACTTTATGCAAGAAATACCAAAAGATATGACATGGAATTCTAAACATAATTTTTCAACTCCATGTACTGTAAAGACCTTACAAATGCAGGCAAATTATTCTGTGTCCATAACCACACGTCTTCGTAGGTGTGGATAATCCCCATGAAACAGGGCCTAGTTTTTCTGACTCTACACCAGCCGACTGTAAAAATATCTATCAGAGGCTGGAATAATAGGCAAATGTTTCAGACTAATATTGTGTATGAACAGGTAATAAAAACTCATGCACTGGAAGTCATTACTGATGTCAGTGTACAATGGGGAAATTTCTAGCTGTTCTCTATTCAATATGAGGGCAATGTATTGGATATGTTGTGTATGAACAGGTAAAAATAACTTGTACACTGGAAGGGAAGGTGTTGACTGAAAGGTATATAAACTAAATCATAACATTGACCATATGGTTCCCCTTCATTACATAAATAACTCTTAAACAACATAACGTAAGCTTACATTTTCTTAAATATATTATTAATAGTCTGACTATTTTAAAAGGCAGAAATATAAGGTATAATAATTTTACATTTCAAATAGATCTCTCCCTTCCTTTTATTCCAGATTTTATTGCAAAATTAGGTCCCCAGACTGGAGGTACAAATTGGGTGCAGACTGACTCAATAGGGAAACAACTGGCGAGGCTGAATTCAAAATTCAGCATCTCAGTGGAGGTATCATAGTCGCAAGCCTCATGAAGTGTCTTATAGGTTTCTCCCAAGAAAATTTTCGAAAAATTTAATTGATTTGGTCTATTCTGGCAGATATTTTGAGACAAAATGTATAATTTTTCGAAAATTAAATTGGGGTACAATTGGGAGTGCAGACCAAATGCCCACCTCCCTGGGCCACTGTATTAAAGCAATCCCTGACTACATTTACTTCTGAATATTTTTTCATCAATGTAATTGAATTTTTTAGATGCCAAAATTGACTTATTTATATAATTATCCTATTTAGATAAAAAATGAAGATTATATATTGAAAACATGGTTATATATTAATCTACAGTTAAATAACCTTGACTAATTACATTTATAACAAAACTGAATATTGTACTAAATTATTAAAGGAATACTACCTCTTAGAATCGACATAAATTAAAGTCTCAAACTTGGTCAATAAGAGTATAATTTCATCAGTTAGACTTACTAGGTACCATGACTAAAGAATAGAATCTCTATGTAAGATGATATATCCATTAAACTAAGTATCTATTGAAAAACGCTTTTAAGCATGTTTGAAAATTACTAAGTTTAATGAATTATTACTTAGTTTTATAGATTTATTAGATTATAGACAGATTCTGTTGTATAGTTATGACACCAGTTAGGGCCATCAATGAACAAAGACTCATTTTAAAGATTCAATTTTTTGGTCATCCTTTTTTGGTCAAGAGGTACCATGTGTGACTTTGTCAACTTAGACTGATTGTCAGTGGAAAAAATAACAAATGATGGTTAATTTCAAAATGACTTTAAAGATTACAATTTTTCATCAACAAGGGTTGCGCATTATATACAGGTAAATGTATTTTTCCAGATTTTGATGGAGTAAGGAAGGGGTGCACAATATATATTCTTGCGTATTATATTCGGAAATATACGGTAGTATATCTTTAACTATAAAGCCCGAGCAGTTCCTGTTGTACTAGTAATGTTCCTCTACCATTCCACTACTGGTATCAAAGAAACTCAATAATAAACTAAGAATCTAATCTATTAAGATAAGTGTATATCTAGTGTACTGAAATCTCAGAGGGGAGGTTTGATAACCAAATCAACACAGTTTAACCTTCACATAAAAACTTCCTGTAACTTGATTCTTCAAGTTTATTTACTACCTTCAGATCAATATACAAAATAAGGTGGATCAAAAGACAAACTAATTAAAATTAGATTAAAATTTTGTCTTCATTGTAATCTAACAAGTTTTCTACCAAAAGCCTGCCTGTCCTAAAGCTAGTATTTCTAACCAACCAAAGCATACCATGTAAAACCTGTTTCTTGATAAAATGAGGAATTGTGGGATGTGGAAACCTACAGTGGAAAAAATATGACACCCTCTTTGGGTTCCACTATCCTATATTATCAATGTCAATGGAGTAATGGATTAGTGAGTAATCCAGAACTGTTGGTATAGAGGAATTAACTATGAGACCTTATTTAGAGGTTTAAAGAGAGTGCCGGTTTATTGAGGATACCCTTCTAGCGATTATATTTGGTCACGACTTTAAAAATATGTCAGTTAGGGTGGATATCTATTTACAGAAGATATGGTTTGGAGAGTTTCACTGTAATACATACTTGAAAATTTCTAAAAAAAATCCAATTCAGATCCAAATCTCCATTTTATCTAACCATACGATTTATCAGCTAGATACCAATGTAATCTCTTTTCAAAACTTAATAAAAAAAAATCAAAATTTTCTCAGAATACATTAGTTCCTTAAAACACTTTCCAATATGTTAATTTCTCATAAGGTAACACAGTTGATATAACAAGCACAAATATAATAAACTCTAAAATTACACTACCTCACTCTTAATACTAGGAATGAATTACACAATAAATTCCAATATCACATTATTGGTGCTAAGAATGGAATATATATTCTTCTAAGTCCAAATTCCAAAATTCCTGATAATGCAATGCCAACACTGTGAAAAAATGTACTAAGAATATAAAAAAAAGTTCACACAAACTAACTTCTAGAATAGCAATCACATCACCAAATTGGATTTAAAAATCTGACTTCCCAAATTCCTGATAATCTATTGCCAATAATATTGAACACTGTCTTCTAAAAATCTAAATTCCAATGGCTTCTACAATACCAATCACATCACAAATTTGGATCTAAAAATCTAAATTCCTGATAATGTAATGCCAATTTCCAAAATTCCTGATAATGTAATGCCAATAATATTGAACATGGTGATACAATGTACTATAAAAAGACTAGATCAAGTTGAAGGTGAGAAGTGTATGATTACATCAAATCTTCAGCCAGAACTATAAAACATTAGCCAGAAATCAAAATACCCACAGCTGCTTTCTTATAACTTACATGGTTTAATAATATTGAACATAATGTACCATATCTAGCTTATAACTTATATTATTTGAAATTATTGAACATAATGTACCATACCTAGCTTATAACTTACATTATTTGATATTATTGAACATAATGTAGCATAACTAGCTTATAACTTACATTATTTGAAATTATTGAACATAATGTACCATACCTAGCTTATAAATTACATTATTTGATATTATTGAACATAATGTACCATAACTAGCTTATAACTTACATTATTTGATATTATTGAACATAATGTAACATAACTAGCTTATAATTTACATTATTTGATATTATTGAACATAATGTACCATACCTAGCTTATAACTTACATTATTTGATATTATTGAACATAATGTACCATAACTAGCTTATAAATTACATTATTTGATATTATTGAACATAATGTACCATAACTAGCTTATAACTTACATTATTTGATATTATTGAACATGATGTACCATAACTAGCTTATAACTTACATTATTTGATATTATTGAACATAATGTACCATAACTAGCTTATAACTTACATTATTTGATATTATTGAACATGATGTACCATAACTAGCTTATAAATTACATTATTTGATATTATTGAACATAATGTACCATAACTAGCTTATAAATTACATTATTTGATATTATTGAACATAATGTACCATAATTAGCTTATAAATTACATTATTTGATATTATTGAACATAATGTACCATAACTACAGGGAGTCCACAGAGTCTGCTTTTTAGATTTATAATATTATCTGCAAAGAGTCCACATATCTGCTATCTTATAACTTACATTATTTAATAAAATTAACTACAGAGAGTCTACATAGCTGCCTTATAACTTACATAGATTTATAATATTACATGTGAGAGAGTCCACATATCTGCTTTCTAACTTACATATATTTATAATATTATCTGCAGAGAGTCCACATATCTGCTTTCTAACTTACATATATTCATAATATTATCTGCAGAGAGTCCACATATCTGCTTTCTAATAACTTACATATATTTATAATATTTACAACAGAGTTCACAAACCTGCTTTCTTATTATTCAAATTATTGAATGGATTCATAACATTGATCTAGATATTCAAATCACCTGCTGCCACTGATAACTGGCTTTGTCAACTCAACAATGTCCACTCAGTTAATAACGTTAATTTCAACATCCCTCTTAGAGAGTCCACATAGCTATTAGTTATAACTAAATAATGTTTTATTACTTTGTCATGAATCTTGGTATGTAATACCAGATAAACATCATAAGCCATATGAACTCTCTAAAATAATAGTGGATCTACCTAAAATCTAGAGGTTAAAGCTAATAATGACCAAGGGAACAATCATGTCTTTCAGTACAGAGTTTTCAGTCTATTGGCGTGTAATAAATACATCATATATATAATATTATTTATGGTACAATCTTTTACACCAGAAGATATAAAATCAATATATACCAAAAATACATTTTTATACATCCACACCTCCATCCATCTGTCCATCCACAATTGCTCATAAACAATCCAGAAGGCACAATTTTTGTAGGCTTTTGATGAAACTTGGTGTCAGCCCCGTCGCCAGGAATGAATTGGTGCTGGGGCTCAGATTTTGTATGAATTAAAGGCCCAGAGAACCCATTTCTGATAATTTTGAGGTACCAATAACATATCAAAATCTATTTCTTTTTGATTTTGTACAAATGAAATGAATCAATCTGATGGTTTTGCTGGGG